GCTCCTGAAAGAAGCACTAAACATAGAACAGAAAACCAGTACCATTCACTCCAAAAATGTACCAAATGGTAAAGACCATCGACACAGTGAAGAAACTGTGTCAACTAATGGGCAAAACAACCAACTAGCATCAAAATGGCAGGATCAAATTCACACATAACAATATTAACCTTAAATGCAAATGGGCTAAATGCCCCAATCAAAAGATACAGACTGGCACATTGGATAAAAAGTCAAAACCCATCAGTGTACTGTATTCAGGAAACCCATCTCACATGCAAGGACACACATAGGCTCAAAATAAAGAGATGAAGGAAGATTTGCAAAGCAAACAGAGAGCAAAAAAAAGCAGGAGTTGCAATCCTAATGTCTGATAAAATAGAATTTAACCAACAAAGATCAAAAGAGACAAAGAAGGACATTACATAATGGTAAAAGAATCAATACAACAAAAAGAGCTAACAATCCTAAATATATACGCACCCAATACAGGAGCACCCAGATACATAAGGCAACTTCTTAATGACTTACAAAGAGACTTAGACTCCCACACAATAATAGTAGGAGACTTTAACACCCCATTGTCAATATTAGACAGATCAACCAGACAGAAAATTGACAAGGATATCCAGGACTTGAACTCAGATCTGGACCTAGCAAACCTAATAGACATTTACAGAACTCTCCACCCCAAATCCACAGAATATACATTCTTCTTAGTACAACATCGCACCTACTCTAAAACTGACCACATAATTGGAAGCAAATCACTCCTCAGCAAATGCAAAAGAACAGAAATCATAACCAACAGTCTCTCAGACCACAGTGCAATCAAATTAGAACTCAGGTTTAAGAAACTAACTCAGAACTACGCAACTTCATGGAAACTGAACAACTGGCTCTTAAATGTTGACTGGAAAAACACTGAAATGAAGGCAGAAGAATAAAGATGTTCTTCAAAACCAACAAGAATGGATATACAACATGCCAGAATCTCTGGGACATTTAAAGCAGTGTCCAGAGGGAAATTTATAGCAATAAATGCCCACATGAGAAGCAAGGAAAGACCTAAAATCAACACCCTATCATCAAAATTGAAAAAGCCAGAGAAGCAAGATCAAAAAAATTCAAAAGCTAGCAGAACACAAGAAATAACTAAGATCAGAGCAGAACTGAAAAGAGATAGAGATACCAAAAACCCTTCAAAAAATCAGTAAATCCAGGGCCGGGCACGGTGGCTCAAGCCTGTAATCCCAGCACTTCGGGAGGCCGAGGCGGGTGGATCACGAGGTCAAGAGATCGAGACTATCCTGGTTAACAAGGTGAAACCCCGTCTCTACTAAAAATACAAAAAAAAAGTTAGCTAGGCATGGTGGTGCATGCCTGTAATCCCAGCTACTCAGGAGGCTGAGGCAGGAGAATTGCCTGAACCCAGGAGGCGGAGGTTGCGGTGAGCCGAGATTGTGCCATTGCACTCCAGCCTGGGTAACAAGAGTGAAACTCCGTCTCAAAAAAAAAAAAAAAAAAATCAATAAATCCAGGAGCTGGTTTTTCAAAAAGATCAACAAAATAGACCACTAGCCAGATTAATAAAAATGAAAATGGAGAAGAATCAAATAGATGCAATAAAAAATTATAAAGGGGCTATCACCACCGATTCCACAGAAATACAAACTACCATCAGAGTTGATTACAACTCTATGGACATAAAGCAATAAACCTGGAAGAAATAGATAAATTCCTGGACACTTGAGCCCTCTCAAGCCTAAAGCAGGAAGAAGTTGAAACTCTGATTAGACCAATAACAAGGGCTGAAGTTGAGGTAGCAATTAATAGCCTACCAACCAAAGAAAGCCCAGGTCCAGATGGGTTCACAGCCGAATTCAAATCAAAACCACATTGACATATCATCTCATGCCAGTTACAATGGAGATCATTAAAAAGTCTGGAGACAACAGATGCTGGAGAAGATGTGGAGAAACAGGAACACTTTTACACTGTTGGTGGGAGTGTAAATTAGTTCAACCATTGTGGAAGTCAGTGTGGAGATTCCTCAAGGACCTAGAAATAGAAATTCCACTTGACTCAGCAATCCTATTACTGGGTATATTTCCAAAGGATTATAAAATTGTTCTATTATAAAGACACATGCACACATATGTTTATTGTTGCAATGTTTACAATAGTAAAGACCTGGAGCCAACCCAAACACCCATTGATGATAGACTGGACAGGGAAAATGTGGCACATATACACCACAGAATACTATGCAGCCATAAAAAACAATGAGTTCATGCCCTTTGTAGGGACATGGATGAATCTGGAAACCATCATTCTCAGCAAACTGACACAAGAACAGAAAATCAAACACTGCATGTTCTCACTCATAGGCGGGTGTTGAACAATGAGAACACATGGACACAGGGAGGGGAGCATCACACACTGGGGTCTGCTGAGGGGAACTAGGGGAGGGACAGCAGGGGTAGGGGGTTGGGGAGGGATAACATGCGGAGAAAAGCCAGCTATAAGTGATGGGGGGATGGAGGCAGCAAACCACATAGCCATGTATGTACCTTTGCAACAATTCTGCATGATCTGCACATATACCCCAGAACCTGAAGTACAATTAAAAATGTATAATATATATTTTAAAAAAGAAATTGCAATAAATAGGATTAATGGAAGATGAGATATTAGAGAAGAAAAGATTAAACAACTGGAAAACATAGTGGTAGAAACTAAGCAAAATGAAAAGTGGGACAGAAAAAAAATTTTTTTTTAATGAATAGAACATGAGTGAGTTGTGGGTCAAATTTAAGCAGGTTATTACACATGTAATGTAATTGCAGTTTTCTAGGAAGTGGAGGGGGGAATATTTGAAGAAATTATGGCCAAAATTGGTCTGAATTTCATGAAGACCAATAATCCACAAAACCAAGACACCCAACAAAACCAAATAAAAGAAAAATGAAGAAAACTACACTGAGACACATTACAATTAAATTGCTCAAAATCAGTATTAAGAGAAAAATCTTCAAAGTACCAGGGGGTTGGAAAAGGATGATCCTACTTAAAGGAACAAACAAAAGGACGACTGATTGCTGAACTCTTATCAGAAGCAAAGTGAGCAAGAGGACAGTGGAGTAACGTCAGTAAAGCACTGACAGAAAAAAAAAAAAGCTGTCAACCTACAATTCTATATCCAGCAAAAAATGTCCTTTAAAAATGAAGGCAAAGTAAAGCCATTTTCAGATACATGAAAGCTGAAAGAATCCATCACCAATAAGCTTATACTATAAGAGGTGTTTAAAAAGTCCTTGGAGTCACCACAAGTAAATTTAAATTTAAAAAAAAAAAAAAACAAAAAAAAAACAAGTAGTCCTTCAGGCGGACAGAAAAGGATACTGGACAGAACACAGACCTACATGAATAGCACATGGTACCTACATGAGTGCCGAAAACAGTAACTTCATGAGTAAATATGTGAGATTCTAAGACTAAATCTTTAGCACATAAATGAGTAACGTTTTGATTAAATTAGATATAAAAATAGATATTTCTGTTGAAGAAAAAAATAATAATGAAGTGTAGGCTTTAGAGCATCCATAAAACAGTGTGGTGGCTTACATCTGTAGTCTCAGCTATTCAGGAGGCTGAGGCAGGAGGATTCCTTGAGCCCAAAGTTCAAGGCTGCAGTGAGTCATGATCACACCATTACACCCCAGACTAGGCAAAAGAGCAAGAACTGACTCAACCAAAAAAAAAAAAAAAAAGTAAAAGTAAAATGTGTCATAAAAAATTACATAAAGTTTAAGAAAGGAATAATGAAAGTATAATTTGTAAGGCTCTTTTACACATTAAATAGGATAACATCACTCAAAGACATACTATGAAATAATAAAGAAGTATAGTGTAGGCCAAGTGCAATGGCTCACACCTGTAATCCCAGTACTTTGGGAGGCTAAGGCAGTGCATCACTTGAGGCCAGGAGTTAAAGACCAGCATGGCCAACATGGCAAAAAAATTAGCTGGGCATGGTGGCATATGTCTCTAGTCCCAGCTGCTCAGGAGGCTGAGGCAGGAGAATTGCTTGAACCCAGGAGGCAGAGGTTACAGTGAGCCAAGATCATGCCATTGCACTCCAGACTGGGTGGCAGACTCTGTCTCAAAAAAAAAAGAGGTATAGTATAAAACGTTGAGCAACTATCAGCAAATAAACAAAAACTTAAAATAGAGCCATTTTTAAAAATTCAATTAATCTGGAAGAACACTGAAAAACAGAAAAAGGGAGATCAAAAAGCAGATGAAAGAAACCGAAAAAAGCAATATAAATTTAAATCTATAATGAAATCACATTAATATCATCTACCTAATTAAAATACAGGCACAGATATTAAAATACAAATAAATATATACATTTGTCTATTCTACCAGTCTGACGGTTCCTGGAAGCAGATACAGTTTCCTGTTTCTCTGCATTGCCAGAACTGTCACATAAAAGGTCTCTCACAAATATGGAGGAAAAGGGGAGGGGAAACGAAGAAAGAAGGTCAGTCTACTGACTCCCATTTTACTACTCTTTATTCCACAGGAAACTAATATTATTACTCATTCATGCAACTATGACCTCTTTAATAAGGTAAGACCACAAAAATCCAGATATGACACCACTACATAAAACACTTCTAATTAACCCAGTCTCGTATTATATAAGCTTTTTAATGCATTTTTAATAGCTATCCCAATGACAGCAGTTTCGATATGTGTACTTGACCCACATTGATAGTAATGTCCCAATCAACCAAGCAAAAAGGAAACTGGCTGGTCCAGGCAGCCAACACAAGCGATCTGCAGAAAGAAGAAGGTGGTGAATCTTCAGGTTGCTATTATCTGACACTATGAATAGCTGCTGAGCTAACTAGAGAGAGACTTCATTCTGGATATTAAATTAGAATGCCTAAGAGTATAGACATACAACAACAATTCTTCAAGATTTTCACCTTGTTTAGTAAGGGCTTCTCGGAGAGCAGGAGTTATCATAGCTCTTCTCTCACCATCTTCGTTTCTCCCCATGTTCCCAAACAAACTAGTCTTCTCTTCCTGCTCTTCCTTTTCTCTCTGCATTAAAATTAAAAGAATGAAATCCAGAATTGGCAACGTGCAATGCAAATAACAGCACAATCATGAACACCTAGCATCAATAAAAAGGTCCATTATGAGGCTGGGAGGGGTGGCTCACGCCTATCATCCCAGCGTTTTGGGGGGCTGAGGCAGGTGCATCACCCGAGGTCAGGAGATGGAGATCACCCTGGTCAACATGGTGAAACCCCATCTCTACTAAAAATACAAAAATTAGCGGGCATGGTGGCTCACACCTGTAATCCCAGCAACTCAGGAGGCTGAGGCAGGAGAATCACTTGAACCCGGGAGGTAAAAGGTATAGTGAACCGAGATCTCGCCATTGCACTCCAGCCCTGGTGACAGAGAGAGACTCTTTCTCAAAAAATAAATAATTATAAATAATTTAAAAAAAAAATTTTTTTTAAGGTGTGTTACAAACCATGGCTCACAAAGCCCGTCCTCCACACATTCCCAACAAGACAACAATCTAAAGATATGCCAGGATGCTCTTTAAGTAACTATACACTCAAACATACACGCCCAAAAACATAAATCTACAATTCACTTATCTAAGTGTCAAACATTTTCAGCAGTCTGAGTACACACAGCTACCTAACTTGAGCAAGTTGTTTATTTTCTCTGGATTTCAATTCCCTCACCTGAAAATGAAGAAAAATAATACCAATAGAGAAGAAATATGTTGAAGGTTAAATGAAATAAAATCACAACATAACCCCTGATGTATAAAACGTGTTCAATAAATTACAGATGCTGTTGGTATTACATCTCTAAGCCCCAAAAACAAGTGAAAAAACAACTATAAGCCACCCTGAGGGCCATCAGCACAGAGACCAAGCTATCCCACTACCACCAACAGCCATCCCAATAGCTCCTTCTATTTTATTTTTTGAAACAGTGTCTCACCTTGACACCCAGGCCGGAGTGCAGTGGCACAGTCTCGGCTCACAGCAACCACCCACTCCTGGGTTCAAGCAATTCTCATGCCTCACCCTTCCGAGTAGCTGGGACTACAGGAGTGCGCCATCATGCCCAGCTGGCTAATTTTTTGTATTTTTAGAGACAGGGTTTTGTCATGTTGACCAGGCTTGTCTGAGACTCCTGGCCAATGTTCCCTTCTAGAAGACCCTACGTAAGACATTTTTCTTCAGTGATAGAAGAAGTACTTAAGAAATTAATTAAACTAATTGTGTTTCCCGATGACTTTGGCCAGCAGAAAATTTCACCAGCACACCTTTGATTACTGCTACAAAACCTTGCACCATGCTGGTCTTCTATTCATTATACAGTAATTGGTTTGATATGACAAGATGACCCTCATTCCCTCTTTCCACTGATTTCTTCCTCTCTTTTTAAAGGTTTATTTGTGTACATATATACACATACATATGGGTGTGTATTTTTATATATATAAAAATTTGTGTACATATATACACTTACATATGGGTGTGTATTTTTTTTTTTTTTTTTTGAGACTGAGTCTAGCTCTATCGCCCAGGCTGGAGTGCAGTGGCATGATCTCAGCTCATTACAACCTCCACCTCCCGAGTTCAAATGATTCTCCTGCCTCAGCCTCCCGAGTAGCTGGGACTATAGGCGCCCACCACTGCACCCAGCTAATTTTTGTATTTTTAATAGAGACGGGGTTTCACTGTGTTGGCCAGGCTGGTCTCCAACTCCTGACCTCATGATCCACCCACCTCGGCCTCCCAAAGGGCTGGGATTACAAGGGTGAGCCACTGCACCCAGCCAAAAGTTTATCTGCATATATTTTTAATTATATCTCCATATCTTTTTGGGAATGGCAGAGTGCTCAGTAGTAACTTCAGAGACAACACAGAAAGTCTGTGTTACACTTTAGAGGAGATACTGACAGCTGCTGCGATCCACAATAACTCATCTTGGCAGTGGCCCTATCATGAGCCCCAACCACCCTGGTGCCTGTCTATTTTAAATGCCTGGCCATCCAGCCCCCAGGTGAATAAGTGAATGAACTCACCGAAACACCCTTTCTACCTAAACATGAGAATACCTCACAGATGATATGAGGTCTGAGATCTACTTCAAACTAAAACAGAAGCTGGGTGCAGTGGCTCACGCCTATAATCCCAGCAATTTGGGAAGTCAAGGCAGGCAGATCACAAGGTCAAGAGATCTAGACCATCCCGGCCAACATGGTGAAACCCCACCTCTACTAAAAGTTCAAAAATTAGCTGGGCGTGGTTGTCCACGCCTGTAGTCCCAGCTACTCGGGAGGCTGAGGCAGAAAAATAACTTGAACCTGGGAGGCAGAGGTTGCAGTGAGCCGAGATCGTGCCACTGCCCTCCAGCCTAGCAACAGAGTGAGACTCCGTCTCCAAAAAAAAAAAAAAGGAAGAAAAGTATGTGGCACCGACTGGGTGTGCTGGCTCACGCCTGTAATCCCAGCACTTTGGGAGGCCAAGGTGGATGGATCACCTGAGGTAAAGAGTTCAAGAACATCCAGCCTGATCAACATGGTGAAATCCCATCTCTACTAAAAATACAAAAATCAGATGGGCATGCGGGCGCATGCCTGTAATCCCACATACTTGGGAGGCTGAGGCAGGAGAATCGCTTCAACCTGGGAGGCGGAGGTTGCAGTGAGCTGGAGGCGGCACTGCGCTCCAGCCCAGCAACAGAGCGAGACTCCATCTGAAAAAAAAAAATTTTGACACACACAGCAAGCAAATGAAATTTGGAGTCAATATCTCTACATTCCAGATTACTTCAAGGACATGCTCTGAAATAGGAAATCAGTGAAAAAGTACTTTAGAAAGTCAAATGTACCAAATGAGAAAAAAAAAAAACAAAAACACATTAAGTTTTATCTGTCCTAAAAGCTGGCATTCCAAATTACTAAATATAATCAAAATGCAAGGCAAATGAACATTTTTGCTTCCAGTAATAGGGTCCTTAATTACACATTACCGGATCGAGCTGAAAAAAATTCATAGACAAACATCAGTCATTTGTTCTTATAATAAATGTAATTCGCTTAATGCTAGGCCTTTTACAAACAAAAAGCCACCACTTATTATTTTGTTTAAAATGGAAGGAACCCTTTGCCTTTTGTTTTCTGAGATGAGGTCTTGCTATGTTGCCCAGGCTGTTCTCAGACTATTGGGCTCAAGCGACCCTTCCACCTCAGCTAACCAAGTGTTGTTTGTTTTGCTTTGTCTTCTTTAATCTAAAAGCAAAGGTGTGAGCATGATAAAGAAGTCTTGTGTTGGCCGTCAGGGTTTGGCCAGCACAGTGTTTCACGCCTGTAATCCCAGCACTTTGGGAGGCCAAGGCAGGTGGATCACCAGGTCAGGAGATCGAGACCATCCTGGCTAGCACAGTGAAACACCATCTCTACTAAAAATACAAAAAATTAGCCAGGCGAGGTGGCGTGCGCCTGTAGTCCCAGCTACTTGGGAGGCTGAGGCAGGAGAGTCACTTGATTCCAGGAGGGGGAGGTTGCAGTGATCCGAGATTGTGCCACTGCACTCCATCCTGGGCGACAGAGCAAGACTCCTACTCAAAAAAGAAAAGAAGTCTCATGGTGAAACAAAGTGAACAAATCTGAACCTTGAAAACATTTAAATTCTCTGAAGCAACCCTACAGCAAGCTACTGTAATTCCTCTACTAACCTCTACTAATGTAAGAAATTGATAAGAGATGGCAGTATATGCCCTCAAAAGCCTCTGTCACCACAAAACGTCACCAGCTTATTTGCTAAACCCAAAGGCCATATAAATGCAAAACTGGACCCCGTCCATGAACTGGCCTCTGACCACTATGCCCAAGGCTCCACAGACACCCTCTTGGAGTTTTAAACAGAGACTTCTGGCCCCTATGAAATGAACAGATTCTGAAGGTGTCCCTGTCCCATCACTAAAGAAAGTATCTATTATAAAATGTGACTGCTACAACCCTGGAGTCAGTCATAAAGGCTATGATCAAAGGTCTTGAGCACTCAGGACAAACAACATTCATCATTCCTTCCCTCGAAGGCGGCTCAGTCCTATCTTCCACATGCAGCAGTAACTTCGTTTCTGAAAAGAAATGCGATGGTTCATAACACTCCGCAAGGGAGTTTAACGCACTATTCAAATTCTACTTCTAATCTGCAGGTGCAGACGTTGTTTACTCTCTGCCCAGAATATAACAATATAACAACCATGTAAGACCCATATATTTTCATGTATTTATTCATTTGCAGCGGTTAAGTGGCCTAAGCAGAAATAAATAAGATCCCAGAATCAGCTCACCTTGACTTCTTCCTCTCCTGCACTACCCCATTCAAAGATGACTGGTCAAGTTCTGTAACCACATAACCAGCCCAATCTGGTTCAATTATATGTAGTAAAATCGTAAGTTTTATTTCAGTTGCCATGAATCCCCAGGTTGTACGTCAGGTAACTTGAGCACAGATGAACCCAGTGTGCCCAGTGAGCGACACCAGAGGCAATCAGAACTCAAAAGTCAACCACAGGCAGAACCAAAGGGCTCAGATCAGGGAAAAGGGAGAATTAAGAAGCAAGCCTCGGCATCATCTCAGGGCATGCACCAATCAGATCACATCTTGGCATCACCTCACGGCAAGCTCCAATCAAATCACACCTCCTGGCATCACTCTGTTGCAAGATCCAATTAGATCACGCTTCGTTATATTACAGTGCCTCATGGTAATCCCTCTGCCTATAAAACCTGCCCCAGCCTCCAGCTCAGGGAGACAGATTTGGGTGTTTCCTCCTATCTCCTTGCCAGTCAACTCCCACTTCTCAAAAGCCAGTGCCATAGTACTGGCTTCTATATACATCTGGCAGTGAGCCCACGGCGCAGTACTACAGTTCTAGGGTTCTGTTCTCTGCATCTGCAATGCCACAGCTCCTGTCAACGGCCTTGATTTCTCCTATGGGACAAATGCAAAAGCCAAACTAAATGGTCTCCCCGCCCCCACCTCTACTTCCAG